TTCAGCACACAGTCACGTTAGCAATATATAACATTTACTGACCACTTAACAATAGTAAAGCCTCCTTAGCTCTCTCTCAAAGACAGAAGCAGAGGAAAAAAATCTGCAGCAAGTACTGACCCTGTTGAAGAATATTAGTTTTGTTTTTGCTTTGGTGCTTTTAACAGACAACACCGTATTTTGTGGGCGTTACATGCAACTGTCACAAGAGTGCCCCGTCCTTGGGAAGCTGGAAGAGAGGCTTGTAGGGCAGAGATTTCAGACAAAAGGTTAAAGAGGAAGAGCTGAAGCAGCCACCTCCTAAAGTTACTGAATCTGTGGTCCCCAAACTTATGGATTCTGCAGGGAAAGGGTTAAGGGAAGACTTAGTAAAGCTGGGACATTTTAGAGTGAGCACATTAGTCAAACAATGTGAAAAATCAGCAAAACTGCTTTGCCATGAGCAGCAGTCTCCCAGAAATAGGCTCTCATTTACTTTTCATTTCTTCTGCTTTCCAGTCTTTTCTCTTTGAAGCAGCTCTTGATTAGTTTCTTTTTAATTGCCACTTAATTGGGAAATAAAATTAGAACACTTATTTGATATCAGTGATGAGGCTTCTCTTTTCATTTCTGCTTTGATCTAGTTTTGAAGAACCAAAAGCTGAAGGGAGAAATTAAGAAAAAGGAACTAAAAAGATTTCTTCCTTCTAAGGACCAGATACAGCTATAAGCCATCAAATAAATGTGGAAAGAGTCACTCTTGGAGAAGCTGAAGAATAAAACAGAAGCAAGTAAGGATAGCTTTATGGAATTCCATTCAAAAAGACCTTTCTTTTCTCTTAAGTTTCTTCATAAGGAATAATATCGCATCATCAGGAAGTTAAGACAAACTCATAAGAACCCATTTTAACCTGTCCCCATGGAGTAAGAAAACAGAATGGGAAACAGACATCCCTGATCAGAGTGTTCTTGACCAATGACTTCCCAGCATCTCAGTGGTGTTAATGACATTGCAAAATAAATTCCAACAGAATCCTAACAGCAAAACAGTGTAAAAATTCTTTCCCGTTCCAAAGCATCCAAATAAACTTTGTTATCTCACAATTAAAATCTACTGCCAGCTGATAAGGTTTATTCTTCAGTGATAAATCTCTTACTAAAAACAAGCAAGCAAATTAAATCCTATAGATGAATCATGACCCAGAGGGGGATGTAGTATAAAGATTATTTTAGCTTGACTCTCCACTCAATTAACTGCTCAAGGAAACTTATGCCAGGTAACTGGGGGGGTTGGGCTGGGGGTAATGCTACCCTCCTTTCTTTCCTCAGTTGAGTGGATTTTTTAAAAAATAGAAAAACTATAAAGAGATACACACACACTCACATGCACACATCTATACTAAAGATGTATGCTTGTGAACATGTGTGTGCTTTTATGTATACATGAAATTTATACCCGCCAAATGTTTAATTATGGAAGAAAAAACCTCAGGACTAGAAAAATCAAGAACTAAAATACATAAAGAAGAGACATAAGACCCAGCACCAATGCACTTCCTATTATTCCAGTGCATGAACGCAGCTCATTTCATCAGTGTAAAGCACTGAGCCCATCCTGAAAGAAGGGCCCAAGAGAACAAGGGTTGGTTTGAACTATCATTAACTTTTATTGCATATTGTCTGTTAGAACTGTTAGCATCAAAAGGAGATATTTTGATTCTTCTATCACTTTGAACACATTTAAAATAATATTAAGTAAAGACAAGCAACATTTCAAAAAGCCAAAAAACAGTGGAAAACTTCCAGACAAAACTGAAGGATCCTTGATTTCTGTGGGTATTTCACAGTAACTATAGTAAGGCTTATGAGACTTATTTGGGGAAAATTAAGTGTACATGTGAGAAAAATCTGATATCCTTCTCCTCAGCGAGGAGAAAGGAACCTGCAGTAACACTGGGCTACAGACTTAACACATCATTCATTCATCCAGCAAATACTCATGAATACCCACTAACTGCCAGCCATCTCCAAGACAGGATTCCTGTTCTGAAACTCCTCATGGTCAGGTAAGACAAGGCTTGGATACAAATGTTACTTAATTCCTGTCATGAGAAAAGCTACAAAAAAATATAGTATGTGATGGCGTAAGGGGGAGGGGGTTGGGGGGAGGACAGGGAAGATCTGAGGAAATAGAAGGGGGAAGGCTGCTTCAGATGTTATCTTATGTAATCTGGACAAGTGGAGGTTAAGTAACTTTCCCAAGGACACAGGACTATTAAGTGTCAAACCAGGATTTGAACACATGTTTGAATGATTCCGAAGTCTATGCTTTTCCCATTGTACTACACAGCTTCTTCCCAAAACCGTTTCCTCTGACAATTAATGGAAAAAATGTCAAGTCTATTCCAGATTCCAAGTGCCAGAACTAGACTCTGCCCTTCAGGCTGGGTCCTCTGTTTTTCACCTGCGACCTCCAAGCTCACTCATACAGATCTCTAGATTTGGGAAACCAATAAACTTAATTTGTCCATCCAGCCCATAACCATGCACTTGCAAAGAGTTTTTGAAGGTTACCACTTTGTTGTACTCTAGATAAAACACAGAACTTTTTGCCAAACAATCCTGCAAAGTGATTCATAGATTATAGGCAACAAAACCAACTAATAAGCTACAGACACTGGTCAGGGCAACAGTTTGGCATTGAAAACAAAAGCAACTACACACACAGCAAAGATGAAGTGGTACTTTCACTTCTGAAACGAATCTCGAATTCAACAACTCTCACATGTGACTGGGGTCTCTACTCAGAAGGGCCACTTTCCCTCCTTCCTGTTCCTAGTTCCTCTTTTTCAGCTCTTCCTTTCTCAGGAATCTAGAGGTTATTTTTATTACATTAGATCTGTGTGCAAAAGGACACAGTCCTATAAAAACCAAATCTAACAAGCTTCCTTTTCCCCTGCACCTTCTTGTGGTTTTAAAGCCGACTAAGAACATAAAACTAGATCTTTTAACCTAAGCATTCATCACAAGCCACTTATAAGCCATTTAAACAATCCTTTGTTCTCCTATCACTTCAAGGTAACAGAATCTCTCTTTAAAGTTTATCCAAAGACCTTAACCTTACCCTTTCACCTCCAGGGCTACCACCAACAGATTGATTCAGCAAAGGACAAGATGGCCACGAAAATCAGACCACCAAAGACTCAGCCAAAGTTATACATCCAAGAGTCTCTCATGACTTTCCGTTAGGAAACATATATGTAGATAAGGAGAGTGAGCCTCTGCGCCAGCCACTGTAACAATGTGAGGAAAGAGAAATGATCGGGTGTGGCTTAAATTTGGAAGCTCAACACTCAAACGTTTGATGCGTTCCTTCTACCCGAGGAATACCCGGAAGCAAGACCCTAAAGTACAAGAGACGCAGTATTAAACCACTTCCAAACTGTCCAAGGAAGGACCATCACCCAATTTCTTGAAGCTCGAAGCTACTTCACAAAGTTATTAGAGCAAAGATACTGAAAGAACTAATTGTATATTGCTCGGGAAACTTATGGATCATTTGGAGCAGCGGACACCATATACATCAAAATATCATACAGTAATTACATAGGGTTTATAAGGTGAGTTTATATCTTGGGATTCTCTAGTAGTGATATTTTTACAACATAATTATGGTTGGTATAGCCTGATGAATTTCCTCCTTGAAGGTGAACTGAACTGCAGTGAAACATTTTATTATTCATTTACTGCTAAGCACGTTGTTCACACAACACTACTGTAACATTCCTTTTGAACTGTACTGTTAGATGGACCTGTGTTGTGCCATCGAAGGCCATCGTCCAACATGCTCTTTTCCCCGGACGCGCATGAGCCACATGACGGGAACATTACACAGAAGAACTTTTATATAATAAAAGTATTGAATGTCTCTGGGCCTTAACATACTGAGCACCCACCCCTGATAAATGACAAAGAAAGCAACCAATCGACAGACAGGATTCCAATGTCTCAGCCAATAGGAATGTGGGGGTAGGGCTACACTAAGCTCCTGGTGACTTCCCCGCACCCCAGAGACCCAGGTTGTGGCGGACTGGATGGGAATTGGACTCCGAGGATCTCGTTACCCCCGGTTGTAGCTGTTGTCCTCCTCGTTCTCGCAATCGCTGCAGTGCTCATGGCCGTTTCCATTCCCTTCCATCATCTGCGGCAGCGGAGGTGCCGGCGGCTTCACTGCTGTATCACTCTCGTCCGCCATCTTGAGTTGCGAGAGCCGGCCTCCGCGCCTCGCTACATGGGGGGTTCCTATTGGACAAGGGGAACTTGCGCGATATTCTGGGTTTTGTAGTTTTCGTGGCTAAAGTAGCCGTAGCTAGGAGCAGGTTATTCCCGGGAAACCGGAACAAGATGGACTACAATACCCAGAAGTCTAGAGAGAAGGCAGTCGTGGGTGGGAGCCAGCCCTATCCGGAAGTTCTGGGAGTTCGGTCGCGCGGGAGGAAAGAAGGGCCCGAGGTTGGCGAGGCCCACGCTCCGCCACCGGGCGGTCGCGTCGCATGCTGGGAGTTGTAGTTCGATGCAGTATAGGGTTTTGGGGGTGGGCTCCAAAATCCTAGGTTTGACCTCAGCCGGCCCTGAGCCGTTATTGGCTGCCGTTAAGGACCGTTACCATTCTCAGGTAAGTAAGAGGCCTTGAGGCCTGCGGCTGCGACCCACTGGAAGCCCAAATGCATAGGATTTTCTTGGAGCTCCTTTCTGCAAGAAGCCAGGTTTGCTCCTGGCCGCCTTTCCTCGCTCGGGATTCTGGGCGGCCCTTGGTCGTTGGTAGCTCGAGGCCTCATGAAAGGCGGTGGATTGTGATGTGCGGAGCACTGATCCTGACCAGTGACATCTGACTGCTCTGTCAGGCCTTAGCCCTTCTTGGCCTGAAGCTCTTTCCCACAGAGAGTCCTTTCATTCTCCGCAGCAGCCCTCCACAATTACTCACTTACTGCCATCTTCTCAACAAGTCTAGAAGGTGGGCACTATTCCCGTTTTTCACAGACAAGAAACTTGGCCCCAAAATTCGTGGGTAAATTGGATAGTCTAATAGCTAATGAGTGGGGGGCGGGGGGAGGCGAAAAGTATATACATATGGATATGACTTAAACTCTCTTAAGTTCTTTACCACTAAAGTCCCATCGTCTCATACATCTACCCAAGGAAATCAGTTATTAGAAGGTAATTTTGACATCTTAAGCTATTTTTAGCCTTGACTGAATGCTCCAGTCCTTTGGGTCTCACCCCTGTGGTTGAGTAATCTCACCGGAGTGTTGAGGCAGAGCCCAAAGACATGGTTACCATTCCTAGAGATTTTCCGTTCAGCTTGGCTTATGTGGGTGTTGAGGGAAGGACAAGTTCTTATCATCAGAGAGCTGCATGAAATGATCCAGCCAAGAAGGGAAATGATCTTGCCTTTGGGATACTCTCAGCGTGGGAAGAGGAATAGAGTGGGAAGAAGTATTTCCCTTCTGATTCAGGAAAGCAAAACAAAAGAGAGCTAAATATAGTCAATGCTTGATCTTATACCAGTGGCAAGAGCAGAAGTTAATAATATGATCCAAAGCAGCAGGTAACCTGCAATCATTTATATTTGACTTTGGAACGCAGACTCTTGCTCAGGCTGAGAACTGTTACCCTTTTTTGTCTCTCTGGGGCCAAGACTGTGGTCAGCATGATGCCTTATATACAATGCAGGCAAAAGGAGGTGGTCAGAGATAATAATAAAGCCTTACATGTGTTAGATGGATTTAAATTTTCTAAGTATTTCAGTTATAATAGCTCATGTGACTTTGTGAAGGAGGCTTGAAGAAACCTGTGCTTGGAAAAATATAAAAAAACAGTGATACCTAGTTGCAGACCTTGGACCAGAACTCATTTCTGGTATTCTAATTCTCAGCCCTGTATTTTCTTTTCCTACAGATTTGCAGAGGCTGAATTAAGGCTAATGAAATGGGACTCATGAAGAGTGATTATGGAAGATGATGGTGCTGGTGTCTGTGGCCTCTTGCCATTCTTGCAATCTGAAGCTTAAGTAAGACACTCTGCATGGTATTTTACTGCAAACCAAGCAATTTTGGCTCAGTGGAGAGCTTTTCTGGGAGATAGGCAAGCAATGTGACTGAGGTGATCAAGCTCAGAATGCAAGTATGAGTCCAAGGTTCTGAAATCCAAGTTAGAATCTTCTAAAATCTTAGATTTCATAGGATTCATGATTTCTCTATAGTAAAAATGTAAATTTTTATGTTTTTAAAAAGAAATTAAAAAAAAAAAGAAATTGAGTATATGTGACACTTGGTTTGTTTTTTCTTTTTTTGGCCATACCACATGGCTTATAGATTCTTAGTTCCCCAACCAGGGACTGAACCTGACCCTGGCAGTGAAAGCACCAAGTCCTAACCTCTGGACCACCAGGGAATTCCCAACACCTTTTTAAAAACTTTATGTTTATTATTATTTTTTTAAGAAATATCTTTTTTTTAAATTTATATTTATTTGGTTGTACTGGCTCTTAGTTGCAGCATGTGGGATCTAGTTCCCTGACCAGGGATCAAACCCAGTCCCCCTGCATTGGGAGTGCTGAGTCTTAGCCACTGGACCACCGGAGAAGTCCCCATCACCTTTTTTTTTAATGTCCATTTAATGACTGAATTTTGCCACATGTGATTTCAATGCCTGAGCTTACTTAAATGTCTAAGTAACTAAGCCTGTGTGCCACAACTACTGAAGCCTGAGCAGTCTAGAACCTGTGCTCTGCAACAAGAGAAGCCACTTCAGTGAGAAGCCTGAGCTCTGCAACAAAGACCTAGTGCAGCCAAAAATAAATAATTAATTTTAAAAATGGAAAAAAAGAAAAGCATATAATCCTGTGTAATTCTAGATAGTTTTTTTTCCCCCCAAATACTCAAAGACTTGCTTTATTATAGTACACATGGGATGGAACTGATGGGAGGGGGTGGATGTTATGGGCAACCACTGCCTTGATTAGCATCAAATGCCCATCCCGATGGCCATGAATGTGCCAAAGGTGCCGTCACTCTGCATCATGGTTTTTCCGACGCTGCCCATCAGCTCCCAACCCCACATTCCCATCCTGAGACAGGAAAAGGTCCCGAAGAGTGCCCCTGCCGCCATGTCCATGGAGCAACCCAGCACGAAGCCCATTTTTATGCGGTCGAAGCAGCTTGGGTGGGACTGTCCATAGGGACCCACGGCCACCAGCATCTTGCTTGTGGCTTCAGTCGCTCAGATCTGTGTCTTACATGGAATGCAAGCTGGAGTGCACTTGAGATCCTCTAGATAGTTTTTACATATTTTTCAATTAAATCTTGTTTCTGTTTCTCTGAGGTAAACATCCCCAGCTTTCTGAGCTCCACAACACACTAAAATGGCACAATTTTCCCATCTAGCTCTTCTGGCTCTTCCTATCCACCCATTCCGGCAAGAGCCTCATACAAGTGAGCGAGGTATAGCAGGCCCCAAAGAATGGCTGAAGGATATCCCTATAAACCTCTGCAGATTCTGGAATTTACTCCTAGTGTGCATACCTCCATTATTCCTTCTCGATTATTACTGGAGACAATAGAATATAGTCATTAAGAGTAGGTTCCAGACTCTTAACTCCCTGGCTTCTAAGTCCTGGCTCTGCCTGTGACCCACCAAGTCACTTAGGCAAGTCACTTAGCCTTTCTGAGCCTCAGTGTCCTCATCTGAGACAGTGCACACATAGCAGTAAAGTGTTTTCCCCTCCCAGAAAGTCAGCATCACTCCTGGTGATCAAAAAAAACTTTCTCGTGATGTCCATCACAGATCAAGGCCGTTGCTGTGCTCCCAGCAGATCAGAGATCCCTTTCTTCAGATGGGCCTGGGAAGGCATGAGCCAGGTCACCTTCATGATTCATTTAGCCAGTGGCTTGGAGCACTCATGTCCTGACATGTCAGGCTCTGTGGCAGAAGGTAGACAATTAGGGATGGACCACCACAGTCCCCTCCTTGGGTCCCCTCCATCAGTTGGTAGGTGTCTGGTCTGATAGAACACAGTGCAGAAAAGAGTCGAGGGGTGGCCACAGGATGTAGCAGGAGCCTAGAGGCGGAATCCTTAACCTGGGGAAAGGGGTTCTGGAGAAGATGGCTGAGCTGAGTTTTGGTAGCAGAAGCAGACAGACTGGGTGGACATCCTAGGCAGAAGGTATGAAAGTGGGTCCTTTGGAGGTATCACAAAGGAGAATGATGTGGCCAGCTTGGAGTGTGAGGAGCATTTTGGAAGTTGAGACCAGAGAGGCAGCCAGAAGTCAGACCGGGAAAGGATGCAGCTGCCATGCTGAGGAGTTTGGACTTTACCCTGAAGACTGGGAACCACAGAAGGATTTTAACTGGGGAGAAAGATGATGCAATTTTTGTTGGAGAAAGATCATACTGGGCAACATCCTGGCTCTCCTAGGGAAGAGAGCTTTTCTCCTCTGAAAAACAGGGCTAGTGGGCTCGATTGTGAAATAGGGGCTGGAAAGATGGTCTTTGACAGCTCCCTGTCCCCCCTAGAGCTCACGCTCAGAAAGGGCATCCTTTCTCCCTGAGACAGTCCCTGAAATACCAGGTCCCTGGACCGCAGTGGGCCCAGGCTTCTGCTTGGTGCTTTGGGATTTAAGAGAGTGCCAAGCATTCCTTGCCCAGAAGGCACTTCCAGTGAAATCCAGAAAACCAGGCACACTTGAAACCAAAATAACAAGGCCTGACTGGGTGTGATTAAATGAACTGGGTAGATAAGTTAACTGAAGATGGTGGTGGGGCAGGCACTGCAGACCTCTGGGCCAGGGTGGTTAGAAAAGGCTTCCTGGAGAAAGCAGGACTCAAACTGGGCCTTGGAGGCAACTTAAGCCCTGGATTCCCCCATCATGATCATTTTGGGGGGCCCTGTGGACCCACTCCTGAGCTGGAGCCACAGCCGTAGTTTTACTTTTTTAAGTTTATTAATTTTTAAAATTATTTATTTGGCTGCACCAAGTTTTAGTGCTGCATGAAAACTCTTAGTTGTGGCACAAGGGATCTAGTTCCCTGACCAGGGATTGAACCAGGCCCCCTGCATTGAAAGTGCCGAGTCTTAGCCCCTGAACCACCAGAGAAGTCTCCCTGCACTTTTACTTTTGTTTGTGTGGTTGTTCAATTTGCACCCATTTTCCCCTTAGAAGACCCTGTGTTCTATGAAGGCAGAACGGGTTGGATTTTCCTCACTTCTTTATCATTTGGGCCAGCACACAGTTTGTGGGCCAGCACACAGTTCGTTGTTTTTTGTTGTTGTTGAACAAGTCATGTCCGATTCTTGTGCAACTCCATGGACTGTCGCCCCCCAGACTCCTCTGTCTGTGAGATTTCCCAGGCAAGAATACTGGAGTGGGTTGTCATTTCCTACTCCAGGGGATCTTTCCCAACCCAGGGATCCAACCCATGTCCCCTGCATTGCAGGGGGATTCTTTACTATCAAGCCACAGGGAAGTCCAAGCCCTCAGTTAATATTTGTTGGATTAATTAATGTATGACTGGGTGAATGAGTGAATAGTGAGACAGAAGGGACAAGGGCTTCAGGATGTGGAAATGTTGCAGACAAGGGACAGAGGCAGGAACACATGGTATGGTGACCACGCATGCCTAAAGCACTTTATTACTCACAGTATGAGCGCACACAGTACTGTCTCATTTGATCCCTACCATCAGTTGTTTTGTTTGACTCTGTGCAGTAAACTGGGCTGCTATAATTCCTGTTTTATGATGAGAAAAACAGAAGTTCAATGATTTGTCCAAAGTTTCACCGCTTCTTAGGATGAGTTTGGACTTGAACCTGTTGTTTTCATGCAAAGTCTAGTGCAGTAACTAAATTGCCTTCTTCCTTTGCCTATCCCAAGGGGGAACATACGGTAAGACATATGGTAGAACATATGTTTGAAGGAATGATTAGGGGCCAGGTCACAGAAAGCCTTGAGTTTCAGGCTCATCTTCAGAGTTTGGACTTTATCTCCCAGCTGGGAAGTCTTTTTTTTTTTTTTTTTTTTTTTTTACTTTTAAGCTATTTAATAAAGAATAAATATTAATGATATTTGTGAGGGATGGTATAAAGTTAATTGCATATTAATATTTATTTAAAATAAATATACGGAAAGTAAGTTTAATTTTAAGAACTGAGTCAAAGGCCCAGGAGTCAAAGGAGTCATCTCTACCGGACTCAGAGGGCACCGAACAACTTGAAGTAGCTCTGTGATCCAGGTGTCATGCTAGATGCTAAGGACACGGGGGTGACTGAGATACAGGTCATTATCAGGATGAAGTGAGATTGTGTAAGCAGTCCAAGCCTGCTCAAAGTTTATTACCGCCATCCAAAATTACAGAGCATATGTGTTTGAGCTGAAAAAGTCCTTGATGACATCACCTCAAAACTGCAAAGACAGAGCTTCAGTTCAGAGGAAGTTCCTGGGTTGAAGCCCCTGAAGCTGCCCTTCAGCCCTTCCTCCAGGTTCATCCCAGAGCAGAGATGCAGCTGCTGTTGGCAGATTGGACCACAAAGATGCCTAATTAGAACCCCTACTTGTACATCGCTAGCTTACGATACAGTAAGGCAGAATGGGGTCGGGGAAGGATTATCCTGAAGGGATTGCCTAACAATATGCCCCTAGGAAGAGCTTGATACCCTGGGGGAGGCGAAGGCATCTTATTTCTATCACTGCCGTGGTCAGTCATTGTTACTGATGGGGATGGGGTCGGGGCAGCGTGCTCTGGGTATCCTTCTGACGGGACAGAAGTAGGCCAAAGGTTGAGAACCACAAAGTGAGGTTATCTGAAAGTTGTTTAGTCCAGGAAGAGGACTGGACCATTAGCTCTATAGAATAGGAATTAGAATTGTTTTAATATGACCCTGTGGAATAGAAGAGATGTTACCTAAGGAAAAATGGCCAAGATTGAATTTCAGAGACATCATGAAGCTGTCTGGAAAGACAGTACATTCACTGACACTGGACTTGTTCAAGTAAAGTAAGCAGAGATGATGTG